AGGGTTGCAAGAACAACTTTAATTTTACAGAATTAAGAAATAAGGTCATAGAAATAGGAGGAGGTGAAAGGGATGGGAAGAAATGTCAGTGCCATCTAGAATGCTAAATATGTGACAGGTGTCATGTTGGAAAAGTCAGCCATTTCGTCCAGTCCTCACATGGATTCTTTGGAGTACTAGCATCTCCATGTAACATGTGGAAAAAATAACTCAGAGGCTGTATTTGCCAAGTCTAATAAAATGAGCTGAGATTTAAGCTGAGTCCAATATTCTGAGCCTTCAAATCACTGCAGGATGAATTTATTAAATAAGAGTATTATTTAAGTTGGGGTAATTAAAATTTTAAAAAGACTATTTTTTCCCATAAAAGTTATCAAGTAAGTCAAGGAAGCATTAAAAACTGTCTTACAATAAGGTTAAAAGTTCTCTTAATAGTACCTTTTATATTCTCTTCTCCCCTTAAGTAAGTACATTGAAAATAACATACTTAATATCACCAGGGTTAGTGATAATAGTAGAAGCATCAAGTGAGTGTACCCCTAGAATAATGTGGAATGTAGCACCAGAAGTTTGGCATAGAAAGATTTTTCCCATATAGGCAGAGCAACAGTTGGCAATACAATTTTAACACGTTGTCTCTCTTCTCTCTCTCTCCCCTCTCCTCTGAGTCCCTCCCTTTTTTTCTCTCTCCCTCCCTAATCTCCACTACCTCATCACCCTCCCACCTTTCCTTCTCAGAAACACATACTCAAATGTAAATATGCATTAACATATAATGCACTTTATTCAGAGAAAAGATGTTCAATTTAATATCACAGGATAGTGATGTCATTAAATCTGACTAGGTGAAATATACTTCCTGGAAGAAACTAATTTTGATTGAAATTCAAAGAATGAAAGGAGAGCGAGATGATCCTGGCCTAATGAAGGCAGTGATGCAAAACACATAAATGACACTTAGCTGGCCAGGACATGGTTGCAAAGTGATGTGGATGGAAGTAACACAATGCCACAATGAAAATCATTCAGACAGCGAACTGATTCACCAAGGAGTACAATATTATTTTAAGCATGATTAGAGATTTGGATAAAGATGCTAGATTTTTTTTTAAGAAAACACCAGATGACCACTGCTTTCTATCTTTTATTAAATTAATAAAAATACTTGGGAAGGTACAAAGACTTATTCAATGCTACTACTTATTGTAGAGTCCTGGTGAACAAGCTTGTAGCTTAGTACTACTTCTATACTACCAGCTGAGACCCACCCCCCATCATCTATTCACCTTCTCTTTTGCACCTATGGGCCCAACAGATGGTTAATATTGGTCTGCATTACTAATAACTCCCAAGGCCAAACAGACACACCCAGGAACAGTGAGTCAGGGATGAACCAAGACCTGAATGGGAGTGATATGGTATACAACACCTCAGGAATTGCTCTGCCCTAATTCTCACTAGACTTTTGCTTATGTGTCTTCTTGATTCCATATTTCACAAGAGTAAGATTCACATCTCAGAGAAGAAGCCAGGTTAGAATTAGGAAACATAAATGCAAATAACATTCTGGTTAAACATTACATATTCAATATTACCAGAATTTATAACTTTGTAAATATATGCCACTGAGTGGCTAAAAAAAAAATTACTTTAATGAAAGATGACTTTTTAAAGTAATTAGAGGGGATGTTTTCATAAGAGGAGTTCACAGTAATTAAGAATATATGCATACATCATCTTGGGAACACTTCTTGAGAGACAAGTAATTACCTGGGAAAACTCTTGCAAGACACTTTCAGACTTTATGAAGCTGACCCAAATGCAACTGTCAACCACACAGTGAAAAATAGAAAGGGGTTAAAAAATTTCCAGTAAATTAAGATATGTTCCTTTAGGGTAGAAGTAAGATAGTATCTATAATTGAATTTTTTCTAAGGAAAATTCTCAAACTAAGCAAATTCAACAAAAAGAAAAAAAAATTGTTTTCTAAATAATTTCTAAGTAAAAGCTGACAAAAATACATAAATTTTTAAAATTTAGATTTTTAACTTATAATAAAATCATTTATAATTATTAAAGAAAAATGATTCAGAGGTCACATAACTCAAGCTAGAGATAGGAATATACTAGTGAAATTAAGAAACAGAATACTGACAGTGTAGCTCCATGATGGAGCACATGACCCTGGGTTCAATCTCCATCAATGAAGGGAAAAAATAATTAAATATTCTCAGTACAGACAGAAGAGATACTTTTCCTCCTTTTCTCAAGGGACTAGAAGGCTAACTTAGTGTTTATGATTGACCAGATTTCCATTGTTTGGACCTAAGCAGATTGCATTTGGATCTTTTCATTACATTTTTTCCCATAATATGGCATTTATTGTCATAAATGCCTGATCTCAATCGCAAACAGAGCAGTTACAGTGTGTTTAAGTTCTTTTCTAAGATTGCTTCCTGGGTTCTGCTTTGCTGTTTTCTAGATCTACTTGTTTGGCCTCCTATCTACAGTTTTACAATGTTGATTACCAAAAATATCTCCCTGAGAAATCTAGTCTATCCATTAGACTCTACCTTATTTAAATACTTTGTAAATAAAAAGATCAACCTTTTATATGGACATGATAATTCACTGAGTTGCCAATAAAAAGTATTTATCCTCTGAAAATGATTTAAAACCAGAAAGTTTATTCTGATGACAAATAACAGGCTTCTAACAATTATGAGAGATTAGAACAGACTATGACTTTCTGTTGAATAAATGGCAGTAATGAAAATCACTTAATCTTAAAAGTAATGTGTTCTGACAAGCTTTTATTCCATACTGTTTGCTTTTATTATTAAAAAAAAATTACAGACTTTGTACAGATGTAGGATAAATAATCTGAATTTTTTAAAAATTGAGTCAATAATCTCCCCTAAAATACTTTATCCTGTAAAAATCTTTAAATACACATAGTGAAATATGAAGAAACCTGCAAAATACTTGAGAAATAAGCATTACATGTGTATACAGCCAATTTGACTTTAATATTTACTGCATCTGGGTAGATATTCGCATATTCCCCAATACTTTTGAAAAACAGCAATAACAACAAAGTGATGATCTATTATGATTTCAACTGTGATATACTTGATTTATAAGACCAAATAATATTCTTTTTAATTCAGCGTGGATATGTATATATAAAATGAATAAAATAAAATTCTCTTTCTTTTATGCACTCTAATTTTATGGAAGAGAAGCAGAACACTACATTGTTTTACAGTATGGAACTTCAATTTCCTCTGTTGCTAATTTAAGTAGGAGTTCTCAGTAGAAAATGACCAGGTAGAGGATATTACTTTTAGAGGCTTATTAATACACAGTGCCACATTAGAAAGAAAAACTCATAAAAAGGTTATAACTAATATTTAGTTTTAAGTGAGTGTTATCCTCAAAATATGATATCTCCTGCATTACTAGACATCATAAAAATGCAATGTCCCAAAGGAGACTAGCTCTGGTGTAGGCTGATATGTGCATACCTACTAAGTCACCTGAGTGCAGTCTTAACCTGCATGGGTAGGTTTCCAATTTTCCCTCAACATTGAGATTGAAATGCATATCATGTCCCTAACAGAAGTTAACAAAGTTTGCCCTCAATATGTATTTTGTATTTAGAAGTACTCATATGCATTCTTGAATTTTCTGTTTTTTAAAAAGTACAATGGTATACTTGGTTCACAGAACACAAGATAGTTTTAAAAATATTAAAGATTCAATTCAGAAAATTGAACTGACAGTTTACTTCATTCAAACAACATCTGGTCATCTTCTGTATGCCTGATTCTATAGCTAACTTTTAACAACTAAAAATAGATTAGTCATTTCATTAAGAAAATACTGCTCAAGGAGTTAACCTAGCTAAAAGGCACATTATCTGAGTTCAAAAAAATCTGGAGGAAAATATCACTTTACTTTTGTGAAGCCTACCTTTGACATTAGCTTCAGAACACTGTGTCTCCGGAAACTGATAGAATTTTAGCAGCCTGTCTTGCAAACTGTCATGTTATTGAGGACTCCAAGGGCCCTCTATTTCCATACTCCATAAACTATACTTTTTCAAACATTTCCTTGTCTTGCTGAGTAGAAGAAAGCAGTGATATGTATGTGCCCCTCCTAAGATCCCTTTCAGATCTAAGCTTTCGTATCAAAGTCTCTGTAGCTAATATGTACTTTGTGATTTAAAATCATCATTTTTTGTTAAAATATTTTAAAACTTTAGTTGTGCTTGGGAAATCTGCTGGATTCTTCAAAGTGCCTTCCATGGTGCTCAGTACATAGAAGAAAAAGAAAACCACTGAAAACAAAAACAACTTCCAATAACTTTTACTGATAAACTGAGTATTTCTATAGCTTCTTCTGAGCTCTAAAAAAGGATTTGTGAGATTTATAAGCCAATATAAATATTTGATAAAGAGCACTACGGACCTGAAAAGCTAAGTACCTCAGAATCTTACTTTAGAATATCACATTATCATGTTGATTTTTATATTGTTTCCATATAACTCAGAAAACAGATAAGTGAAATTATAGTTTATATAATAGCATAAGCCATATCCAGAGCAACAATCAGTATTTAGTCTACTTTGTAACAATAAAAACTTGACCATATCCACCAATATATTTCTTTTTTCAAAGGTTAAGAAATCTTTAAGTGCTTTAGACTTATGAAAGTGTCAAATTATCTTATTCCCAGTCCCCATACCTTAATATTCAAGGGCAGAAGGCTTCTTGAGTATGTTATGAAGAGAAGGAAATTACCCCCGTTAGCTGGGCCCTATTGCCTCTCTCCCAAATGCATGCATTAAACGGGAATTATATCCATAGGTACACTTCCTGAAAATAATCGCCATGGCCTGTATGTACAGAAATCCCTTTATTAACACACATATCTATGTACTCACTGTGATTTTCTACATATCAATTTTTTTTCATTTCAAAATAAAAATGATTACCTTTCTTGCTTCTTTTATCATCTTCCTAATAGTTTCCTTTATTGTAAGCAGGTGTGCTCTTGGCGGATGAAAGAGGAGATCTATATGGGTGCCCCCTAAGAGTCCAGGCATAACATACGGCCAGCCTAAATCAAGATTTGGAGCTTCCACATCAGACTCAATGGGCCAGTAAGTCCCTGAAGATGAGGTATCATCATAGGAATTATCAGTACCATGCGCTGCACTTTGTGCCACCTTCTGAACATTTTTCAAAATGTAATTGATTTCTTCCTCAGCTAGGAAGTCTGCAACACGTTCCTTCGCAAGAAATTCTTGGTATGCTTCTAATCCATGTTCAATCAGGGTATCAACGGCCACTCGATACCATTCCTTATAGTGAGGTTCAATGTAGTTGTCAGATTTACATTCCTCATTCAGTGAGGAGAGCATCGATGAAGTCTCCATGCTTTCGAGAATACGACAATGGCACTTTCAAATGTCCATTTGCTAGAGGTATCTGAGTGTTTGAAAAAAGAAAATCAAGATCAGTCAGAACTCTGTATTCAAATACTTTATTAAACATGTCGACTACTATTTTTACATCTATTCATTTACATTACCAGCAGCTCAAACTGCCATGCATTTCATATCCAAAATGACATTAATAGCACTGCAATTCATATATCCCTTACAGTTAAACACATTTCTTTTAAAAACTGTCATTTCATTTTCCTTTTTCAAGGCATCTCTACTTCCTGTTTCTCATCTAAGATAATACACCTGTTTTCTCAATGCACTCAGAAATTCTTAACTTAAGTCTAGGACCATACATGTTAGTTATCAGTTTCAACAAGCCCCTTTAAAATAGAATTAAAATACAGTCCATGACTGACTAGCCATTAGTGTAAGTCACTACTGAATACTTGTTATGCATATAATAATATGCTAAAAAATGTAAAAAGCACAAAACACCTGTCTTCCAGGAATTTTACTAATTAGGTGAGGTGGGCTGGCAAAACGCACACAAAAAAACATTAGTTATCATCTTGAACAAAGTCATTTATTACTAAGAACCAAAAGGAGTATGCATTCATATTAATTAATTAATGCCTATATCAGTGCTTTAAGAACAAAAAGCAAGTAGAGATAAATATGGAGTACAGGAGGTATGAATAGCCTTGTGCCAGAGGGAATTTCAGTTCAACCAAGAGCTATGAGTAAGAGGAAGATCAGGTGACAGGAAGAAACATTTTCATTCCATGTAAGGCTAAAAAACATAAGCAACCGCAGAGAACAGAATTGAGCATGTGCATTAAGAAATCAGGGGGCAAATCTGGTATGCTGAATAGCTTTCTTTTACCAGGAGTAAGAGATAAAGTTTAACAGATAAGATGGAGACAGGTATAGAGGGACTAGGAGATCTTTCGATTCAGCAAAACTTATTTTTCAAACAATTAGTCTGGCAGTGGCTGGGGACTGGAGCAGAGATACTTAGCTCAGTCTTTCAGTTTTCAAATACCTGGTGAGAAAGTGACACAAATATTCAAGAGATGGTTTAAACGAAAAAAACGAATCTGAAATATAGTGACTGAACAGTGTACAGGTGGGAAACTTAGGACATCAAAGGTAAATCAGAAATTTCTCTTAGGAATCAAAATCTACCTATCCAAACTCATGCTCAATCCCATACAACGCTCACAAAATGTTTTTCATCCAATCATTCACTCAGGACTTCACTGTGTGAGATACTTGAGTGGACATTATCTCAGTCAGATAAGAGACTTTTCAATCTTTTGAAGTCATGATTTCCATTATGAGGTTCAAACAAAACATAACTCTATGATGTACTACAAACACTGATTTGACAAAAATTGGCAGAATCAGGCTGTCCTCCAAGGGCAAGAGGAGGAGCACCTAGCTCATCTGTTAGTGTGTAAGCTCTGGTGTAGAAAGATAAAATTTATTTTATTACCTAATTAAAATTAGCATAATCTGTTGACAACCACCAGGGACACATGCTGAAACATGTATGGGTTTCTCTGTCATTGCAGGAGGTGCTAACTTGTTCCAAACCACATTTCATTCAAATTCAGTGGTTTTCTACAAGGGAGATTTGCCCCCAGGGGGCAATACCTGAAGGTGTTTTAAAATGTAAACACTTGCAGGGAGGGGTACTCCTGGTAAAACTACTGGCCCAGGAAATGTTGCTGGTGCACAGGACAGACAACCACAGTTAGGAATTATCTGGCCCAAAATGTCAACACTGTCAATGATGAGGACTCATCACATGGCTCACCTCACATACATGTGCTATGGTGTTTGTCAAAGGTTCATGCTAGAAACTTGTCCTAGCTATTACAGTATTGGCAGGTGTTGGGTACCGAGTGAGGTAAGGCCTGGGGAAGGTGATTACAGCACAGTCACACTACCCTCATGAATGGATTCAGGTCTTTCTCTAGAGACTGGGTTATTTCTCTTGAGACTGGATGACATGCCATGGGAATGAGTTAGTTTTTGTGGAACTGAATTCCTTACCACTAGCCTGGATTGTTATAAAGCAGGTCAGCCTCCCCTCTGCCTCTCTCTCCCACACAGGCTGACTTTCCCTTTCCACTTCATCATGAAGGGACACAGCATGAGGACCTCAGCAGAGCGGGTATCAAAGCCATGCTTTTGGATCTCCCAAACTGTGAGCTAAATAACCTATTTTCTTATTAAAATACCCAATTTGGGGTATTTTATGATAGCAACAGAAAATGGACTAAGACAATATGATATCTTACAAATTCATAACATTTTCAACATTAAAGTTCTCTTCTGCACGTAATGCTCATTGTTAACAAAGTTCATGATCATTTGACAGAATCAATCCATATACTTATTTACCTTCCTAAGATTTAGTGTAGTTTTCCTTTGATAATTCCATCCCAAAATGGAAGAACAGTGGTTACATACAAAAATAAATAAATACATAAAAAAAATCACACTATTATTTGTAATTATTAAAAGTGGTAGGTTACTTACTGGTCATTCATTTTTTTTAAAAAATCCAAATTTTCTGACTGAGCACTTATTTCTTAACTTTTATATTTTAACTATTGATTTCCCATAATATGTAATGTTAAATGCCTGTTACCTAATTGGAAGTTAAAGTATACACAATGATTTAAAAATTATTTTCATTTATGAACTTTACTTACGCAAATAAATATTCTGCAACTCTAAAAAATGCACTCCTAAACTATGTGTAAAATCAAATAGTCAATGCAGGTGCCATTAGACACAATATAGGAAAATCATAGCAACACTGAGCATTGAGTTAAGACATTATGTACAAGAGTTAAGAAATAAACACACATGGTATTGGTCCTGTGGGTAAGGCAAACACACATGGTATTGGTCCTGTGGGTAAGGCTGTACTCTAGACATTGTGTAGAGACACCCATTTACCACAAGAGCTGTTTACAAGGGATTCTTGTGAAGGGAACATCCAAAAACTAATTTTAATGGAGAACAAGAAAGTAATAGAACTTGTGTACTTTCACTGAAAATTTAGAAGGCTTATTATAGTACAAAATTAGGTGTTGTTTTAAACTTAGAAAACTAAAGTATCAGTTTATTAATAACTATTTAAATCATAAGTAGAAAATATATTTTCTTTTAACACAGAGTTAATGACTAAAGAAACATATTACCTCACTATGATAAATAGTTGAGCAGACCGCTGGGCTTATCCACAAATAAAATGATATATTCTGGGTTGGGGGAGGAGGAACATAGTCTTAAGAAGACATGCCTCAAAAACATTGTAAACTGAATTTGATACAGCATCTTTAGGGTCACTTTTGGCAAGTAGAAATTCCAAAAACTACATTCTTTAAATACAAATAATATAGAATGAGTCCTAGAAAAAAAAGAAAAACATGCATTTCAATTCAACTCAGGGACTTCTCTGAAAAACACTTTGGCAGTTTCATTTATAAAACTAAACAAGAAACTCCACAAACATTATAGCAATCTCCTTCTTAGGATTCACTAAACTTATCTTTACTCAAAAATTTATCCATGGATGTTCACTGAAACTGTATATGTAACAGCAAAAACCTGGAAACAAGTTAGATGTCCCTTAATATTAAACAGTGGTATATGCATACTATAATATACCATTCAGGAATAAAAGAGACTGCTGATCTGCTGATCCATCCAACAGTCTGGATTAACCCAGATCAACCTCCCTCTGGGGGACACAGTGATTAAAAACAAACAAACAAACAAAAACACAAATCCCAAAGGCTATGTGTTGCATGTTCCATTCTTGAGATCACAGCAGTACAGAATGGAGATCAGATTAGGGTTGCCAAGGAAGAAGGGAGGGCTGTGGCGGGGGAGAGATATATGTGGCTGCAAAAGGGCCACAAGAGCAATTTTTGTTGCATTTTTTGATGGTATCAATGCGAATATACTGGCTGGGATACCTTATTACCATTTTGCATGATGTTATCAGTGAGAGTAACAAAGAATAAAAGGAATCTTTCTCTATTATCCCCCTCAACTGTGAATCTACAATTATCTCAAAAAATTTAAGTAAAATATCATATATACAAAATTTCACAAAGATTGGGAGTGAGGGAAGAGGTGGAGAGACAGACCAGCATAGAGGATGACAGCTTATGTAGGGTAGAACTGTCAGATTCAAACCCTTCTTCACCAGTTACCATGAAGCCCTCAGATAAAATACCTACTTCAACAAGACTCAGTTTGGGGATATGGAGGAAGAAGAGTAACAGTCTTCACCTCACTGGATCATTCTATGGTATAAATGAAGGAATGCAGAGTTCAGGTGCTTAACTTTTAATATTACTATTCTGCTGTTATAACTATTTTACATTTTCACAATGTTACATTATAATTACTATAAAGATTTTTTACAATGTTATAGTGCAATTGCTTTGCAAATAGAATTGTGATCAGAAGAAATTTTTTAAATTCAAAAAAGGTAAAATTTTTGTGTCATGCCCTTAGCAATGGCATACAATCTGGAACTACTTTTTTTTTTATCTGCAAATGCCATAAAACAAAACTAGTTATGGGTTTTTGGGGTTTGTTTGTTTGTTTGTTTGTTTAGTTTCTGGTCTGAGAAGATATACTGAGAAGACTTCTGAAATAATAAGTTAGTGGAAAAATGCTCCAAAGAGAAGCTACAAATTTCTCACAAATAGCCTGAGGCAGGTCTTTGAAAACAATGGCAAAAAGGATAAGAAAGATACAAATATTGTTGCAGTCCCTTCCTCAATCTATCTTAGGCTGTTTCTCTTCCACTACTGAATACTATTAGGACTCTAAAATGTGCCCCAGCAAGAGGCACTGAAGTCATTTGCTACCTGCGACACTGACCTTATTTGGGAACAGGGTCTTTGCAGATATAATCAAGTTAAGATGAAGTCATAATAAACTAGAAAAAGCATTTCAAATAAGAAAAAGTCAGTTTCACACTTTTTGCTTTGC